TTTTGTCTCACGTGTGCCCACACACACGTCTACGTGGAATCAAGGAATTGATGTGGAAGACTTTGGTATTCTAAACACAAAGCTTGGAGCAAGGACTGTTCGTGGTCAAAGAAATTCATGTTATCATCCGAGTCGGCTTCCAGGTATTTTTCGGTTGATCCTTGAATGATGTAAATTAATGTGATTAATTTATTCGTGCATAAATTAATATAATCTATAGAGTATCTCAAAAGTTTTATGAAAAATTTTGTTATACACGATCCGCTGTTTTTCATCCCCACGCTTCCGCACCCGAATTCGATTCGGGAACCAGCATTGAAGACCACTGAGCCCATGCCAGCCACTTTACAGGAATCATTATTGCCCATAAACACAGAACCACCATCAATTTCTTTGAAGTCAATCATCCAATCCTTTCTGGGAGTCATATGGAAAGTACACCCTGAGTCAAGGATCCACTCACTCCTTGAATCATTCAATGATACGGTTAGAACTTCAGCCATCATAAGACCTTCAGAAACATTTGCAGAATTTGACTTTTGTGGATCACTTTCTTGACCCATTTTTCTTGAAGGGCAGAATCTTCGGATATGACATTCTTTCTGGCAGTGCCAACAGGTTTTGTTGGATTTTGGCTTGGATTTGGATTTGGCTTTATATCTGGGTTTAGACTGATCCCTTTTTTCTGGTCTTCCCCTGACTTGTAAGCCTTCTCATCCTGAATTGGATTTCTTGTTCGACTTCATCTCAAGATCTCTTGATCTTAGTGCTCCCAAGACATCTTCCAGAGACAATGAGTCTCTCCCATACTTCATGGCAGTTTTCATATCGTTGAAAGAATCAGGCAAGGAATTTAACAGGATGATTGCTTGATTTTCATCATCAATCTTTTCCCTGATATTCGACAAGCTCACCGTGATAATCTTAAAATCATCAAGATTATCCTCCAAAGATTTTGACAAATCCATTTGAAAACCAAACAACTGACCCTTAAGAAGAAGTTTATTTGACAGAGTTTTCTTAACGTACAAAGATTCTAACTTTGCCCAAATCTTCAAGGCAGTGTCTTCCTCATCCACTTGCCTCAAGATATTATTCGACAGATTTAAGATTAGCGGACTAAAGGCCAGTTCATTTACCTCTGCTTGGTTAGAATCCTTTGTACCTTCAGGAAAACCGTCAATGGCTTTCACGCATCGTTGTTGAACCATAATCGCTCGCATTTTCTTCTTCCACATGTTGAAATCGCCGCGGCCATCAAATTTATCAATTTCAATCTTCAAAGAACCCATTCTTGATTTCTCTTCCGATTTCTGGAAATCTTTGGTTCGACATTCTTCGCTTTACCAAGCTCTGATACCAAAATGTTGATTTAAGATCAAACACAACCAGAAAATATACATGCACAGAGAAAGATCAAGACACAGACGATTTACTTGGTTCGGGCTTTGGAGAAACCCTACATCCAAGGGCAGGGAAGAAATTCCCCAGCACAATCCACTATCACCAGAAAAGAACAATTACACACTCTTGATCTCACAGGTACAACGAATATCTCTCAGAAAATACAAGCTCTTTTCAACCCTTGAGCTATTCCCAGAACACTCGTTCCTCACCTCTCTGTTTTCACACCCAAGAACTCAGCCTTATTGTCCAGAGAGTAAAAGAGCAAGAGTAATAATCATCCGGATCTTAATTACAAGAGGCTTATTTATACTAGACCAGTAAATAGACTCTAAAGACTAACCAGAGTTAAGGCATTTAACCAATCCATGGTTAATAGCAACTAAGTCGGTTATAACAAATAAGCTGTAGTCTTATTTGTAACTAACCAACTAATAAAGAATATAGCCTACCAAGATAGTCACCTCTCCAACAGGTGCTTGTTCTTGGACCAGAAGTGTATGCATCGTGATGACACCACAAACAGACATCTATGATGCGTTCACATTGTGGAAGAATGATGAGTTGCTCATGGTAGATTTAAATGATCAGCTGGTCTCCTATAATCTTCGTTCCAAAATGCTTAGAAATATTCACGGGGCTCGTCGACCACAGAATTGGGTTTGTTGTTCCTATGTGAAGAGTCTGGTGTCTATTAGAGGGAGATGATGCTTGGCTTCGAGCACAAAGAAGCTCGGTTCCAAGATGTGATTAGAACTAGCATGAAAAAAAAAAAAAAAAGGAATGGAAATCAATGTGATTATCTATTACATCTATTACACAGAGAGAAAAGATTTCTTTATGTGCGTTTCGTTCGTTTCTTTGCGCTCAATTTAGCATTCTACTGATGTGAGGTCTCTTGGGTGACCATAATCTTCTTCCGCTGTTACATTCTTTTCAAGCATTACCCTGTTGCTGGTAATACTATAACAGGTAGCATTTATTGATTCTTTACAAGTGAAGCATGCCTTGGTGGAACTATGTAATAGCACTAATTATTTAATTCATATGAGTAGATGTCACTATATGGTCATTTTCATGAAAAAAATAAAAATCAAACAGCTTACATTTAATTGGTAAGCTTGGAAATAAATATTTGTGAGCCATTATGTGGTTATTTTCATGTTTCCTATAGTGGTAGGAGACGTTTGGTTCATGGATTAGAATCATGTTATTAGAATTATTTTCGATTTATGTGTATTTTTTTTAGAGAAAATATTGTAACGAACTATGAACCATGATTCAAATCATGATTTGAATCATCCAACCAAACATGTCTGATATGAACTTACATTTCATCATATGTTGGGCAGTACGGATGCTTTTTCAGCTTTTATACATGGAATTTTTTCTAGTTATTATATTAATTATTATTATTATTATTTTAAAAATATTATCTAAAAATTAGTGTTGTAGGGCACACTTTACTTCAAAACTTTAATAATCATGAGAAATCATGTAAGAAAAATTTTATTAAAAAAATATGAATATTTCAAATATACAGTTTTAGTTGATTTGGTTTGTTTATGAACACCAAACCGACGAAAAAGACAGTGGTAAAAACTGATCAATAATCCAAAAATTAATGATTTAGTTCAGTTTATTTTGAATTGATCGGTTTTCACAATTTATCATTCTTTAACACTCCTATATAGCAAGGGGAAAAAAAAGTAACACACCTTAAAAGGAATTTTCTAGGGGGATATTTCTAACATTAATTCTTATGAACATCTAATTTGATCAATATGCATTGAAATGATAAAAACTAAGCAAAGCTAATACAATTAATTTGTTGCAAGAGTATTCTTGAGTAGAGAAGAAAAAGTAAATGAATAAACGTGGCTTGAGTAGAGGCGAAAAAGAAAAAAGGGAAGAAAGGCAGGGAAGGTGAAACACAAAGCCAATAATGTCATCCGTACAAAACCATAATGCAGTCAAATCACAGCTCAAAAACTCTTTTGCAAGCTTGTTAGTTCAATTAAGCTTTCTGATTGTCAATGGAATCTCCACCAGAGAAGCCCAAAATGAGTAGAGAAGTTTCAGAACTAGTTCCACTCCATCCAAACATGGTCCTCTCTGAAGATCCGTTTTCAAATCAATCTTATGATCCAAATTACCAAAGTGAGTTCCAAACTGCTCCTTCTTCGCCACCCAACAAGGGAAGTACCACTGAACTATCTTTTCCTTTATTGCCAAAATTGTTGCAGCAGCCAAAGTTGAACGTATCTAATGGTACTATAAATCCTTTTTTTGTGTGTTTATTACACACTTACTTCATATGGTAATAGTGCTTATTCCCTTGTTATTTTAAGCCATGTTTGGTTTGTAGTCTTTTCAGCTAGAGATGCTGTGCCAAGTCACCACTTGCTCAAAATTGAGTCCTTCTCTTCACTTTCAAAAGCTCCAATAGAGAAATACGTCTCCGAGTTTGAAGCAGGAGGCTACAAATGGTGTGCTCTTTCGATCTCGAAATATACGTGACTCGAGCTAATGATAGTCGATTTTTATGTGGGGATTGTCCTTATAGAAGATTTTGGACCTCTAAATAGTTCTGTTTACTTGTTGAAATTTAAAGTAATTGTTGTCTATATCACACCCTTTGTGGCAGGAACTTGTCTATCTATCCAAATGGGGATAAGAATAAAGATGGGCAAGATCATATTTCTATGTACTTGGAAATGGTGGAAACAAGTTCCCTCCCTGCTGGTTGGGAAGTCAATGCCATCTTTAATTTTTTCGTATTCGATCAGCTTCGAGACAAGTATGTTGGTCCCCAAGGTAGCTTCGTTGAAACCCTTAATTTCAAATTTCAACGTGAAAGCAAACTTTGTTGTGTAATTAGCAATTATGTGACAGCTTGGAATAGATCAAACTTCGTTTCATACTCTGTTTGGTATGTGATAAATTAGTATTGGATTAAAATCCTATTCCAAAATAAGTAAAAGGAATTCGTATGTTTTGTTGCATATTTTCAAGTAAAACTAAATTTTATGTCCTTCTAAATTTTATGTTTATTTTTATATTTAAATCACGTCGGACTCAAGTTTATTTTATCGTTTATAATTTAGTGCACCGACTAAGAGGCATAGTTTCTTACTACGTGAGGTATGCAGATGCGACAGTAAGGCGTTTCCATTGTGTGAAGACACAGTGGGGTATCGAAACATTCATCGATCTGAAAACATTTAACAACCCGTCCAACGGCTACCTTGTCAGCGACACCTGCAGTTTCGGCGTGGAGGTCTTCGTCGTCAAGAGTACATCCAAAGCAGAGAGGCTATTACCGATAAAGAATCCTGTGACATTCAAGCATGCTTGGATGTTTGATAGTTTTTCGAGGAAAACTCAAGAATATTATGAATCTGATTTCTTTGTTGGTGGAGACTACATATGGTATATATTGACACTTGACTTAGTAATACAAAATGGATAGTTGGTTTTCGTTTAATTTATTTTTCTCTCTTTATGTATTTGGTTCTCAGGAAAATTGTGTTCTTTCCAAATGGATGCCAATTAGAAGGTCACAAGAGAAACTACAATATAATAAGTCTGGCTCTACGATTGGAACCTTTGACCCTTCCTCCGGGCACTAAATTGCTTGTGCATTTCAAATTCCGAATAAAGGACCAAAAGAATGGCAACCACTTTGACCGAAATGGTGAGATCATAACTCTATGGTGCACGATTAATAAGGAACAAGAAAAAGATTAATGTAACCAAAAAAGAAAATAGTTTTAAGTCTAGTTTTCTAACTTTTTATTAGACTTTGAATACGTTTGCTGAAATTATTTTAATAAGTTTCCTTCATTTGTTTCCGTTATTTTTCAAGTCCCTAGTTCTTTTCTTTTCTATGCATACACACAGACTTGATTTTTAAACAACAATAATGAAGATTCCACACGCTTTCTCTTGTTCCTATTTTCTTCCCTCTAAATTATGAATTCGGCCTCGTTTGGTATACGTATTTGAACCTAGGATTCTGATTCTGTTATAGTATTTTTCTCTAACAAAGAATTTGAATAAAAAAATCATGTCAGTGGTTTTATATAAAAAATTTGAATATAAATCAGAATTATTGACTTGAATGTGTGAACTAAACGGGATTAAAGTCTTTTTTTCATACTGTCTTACGCAATATTATCATTGTCATGAAATATAAATTATAAAACTTTAACGTCAATTACTCTTTTCCAGATAGCAAACTTTTCGGGTTCAATTATTTGAGGAGGGATATTATTGACTTCATGTCATTGACCAAGTTCAAAGACCCACAAAATGGTTTTCTGGTGAATGACACTTGCATTATAGAGGCAGAGTTTGAAGTGCTTGGTTTTGTTACAGTAGAATAGTAAAATGTTGCCCAAGGGGGGTTTTTTTTTTTCTTTTCTTTCCTTTTGTTGGTATTTAAATGTTTCCAAGGTTTTTTTTTTTCTTTTTTTGGTTAATATCAAATGCAGCTTCAGTTGACATCATGGTTTTTTTTTTTTTTAAATGCATCTTTATAAGTTGTGTAACATCTTATAATGTAATATGTTGCCCTTAATAAGTTGTAAAATTGCTTATTCTTGATCTCTCTCTTATTTTCCAGCTCATCGGTGTTTGCCTATTCCGAAATCTGAGAAATCATTTCTTTCTACCCTTGAGCTACGGGTGAATCAGAGAGATACCATTTTTCAAAGCTTAATTTATACATAAAAATAATGCGGATAAATAACTAGTAAGTGGAAACATTTCAGATAAAACATTTCAAAAGTCCTACGTAACCTAATTTAGATCCTGAGACATGTTCAATAATGTTGAAACCTTATCATAAATGGAAGTGCTACTCTTTAATTAACTCACAAAATACATAAAAATTTATAATAGTACATAAAATCAGGGACCAACGCACTAAAATGCCTAAAAGCATTAAAAATTAACAGTTCATTATGTGTGGTCTAGGAATATAATAGCTAATAGGTGATTATGCCAAAAGCATGTAAAGCATAGAAAAGTGGAAAACACACAAAAGTAGGCCCTACAAAAAGAAGCTCAAATAAAAGCAAGACTTGGAATACCCCAGGAATAAGAAAAATTCAAACAAAGATAGGATCCGTTTAATTCATTGATTTGAGTTTTTAGTTTAAATTAAGATGTGATTTTATTTGAGAGCTTTCTATTGTAGTAAAAAAGTTAGATGTAATTAATTTTGAGAGCTTTTTATTGTAACAAAATTCGAATTAGTGAAATAAACGGGGTCTAAAATTTTCACTATGGAAAAGTCTCTTGACTTGTGACCGAAGAAGAAAATAACAAAGAGAGTTTTCCTCACTGTGTTTGGAATTGATGTTGGTTTTGTTTTTCACATTTTTTAAGCAAGAAAAAACGCAAACATTTCTAAAACAATGTTTGGCGCAATAAAGATAAAAAACAAAAATAAAAATGATATTTTGGTTTAGTGTATAATGAGAGAGAAATGAAAAATGACTTTTAATCGTTTTTCATTTTTTGTTTTCATTTTCTCCTCTCTCAAGCAGAGAGAAAGAGAGAGACACATTAATGAATTTTTTTATACTGAAAATAATCTCTTAATAAAACTACTAAACACATTTTTAAAAATAATTTTTATCACAGATTAAAAATATTTTTATTTTTATTTTTATATAAAAAATAAAATTATTTTTAAACGAGTTCTAAATACACTTTCTAATTTTTAAATTTTTTGGTCATTAAATTTATATTAAAAATAATTTATTTTACATATTTTTAATTAAATATAATTTTAATTAAATCTAACGGTACTATCAATAAAAAGTAAGAAAGTCTTAAGTGGAAGCGAGTGGATTTTTCTATGATAATGATCAAAATAAAAAACGACAAAACATATACCTCCTAACATCTATTGGACCTCACTTGACTTGAGTGAAGACTTGTTGTCAAAACTCTGATTGTCAATGGCATCTCCTCCTCCATCATCACCACCAGAGAAGCCTCCTCTTCCTCCTAACATATTCCTCTCTGAAGATGATCTCTTTTCAGATGAATGTCGTAATCCCAATTACGACACTGGATTTCGAACTGCTCCTTCTTCTCCACCACACACTAATCTTCCTACAGATTCTTTACCACCCCAAAAAGAAAGTACCGTTGAAATATCTTCTCCTTCTTCATCAAAGTTGTTGCAACAGCCAAATATAGGCCCTTTTCGGGTTCCACTTCAAGGTACAGTAAAACCCTACTTTAAACAGTTTAATAGTAATAATATTATTGTTATTATTATTATTTTTTTTTAAGGAAGAGATGCTGTGCCGAGTCATCATTTGCTCAAATTTGAGAATTTCTCATTGCTCTCAAAAGCTTCAATAGAGAAATACAGCTCGGAGTTTGAAGCAGGAGGCTACAAATGGTATGTTTCATTTGATCCCTTGGTTGCTTTAGTAATGAAAGTGTTACCAAAAGCATCAATTCGACGAAAAGAAAACAAGTAAGAACACACAAGATTTACAGTAGACAATTAATGTACAAATGTGAAATTCCCAAAGTATCTGCTTGTTGTCTATGATCCGAAAAATAATTAGAGTTGAGTATCTTAGAAGATAATAGTTCTGTAAATTGTTGAGTTATTGCATTTAGCTCTCCTTAATTATTTGTAGCAAGGATATTTATGTCATTATCATTTTCATACCCCCAATGCAGGAACTTGTGTATCTACCCAACTGGGGACAAGAACAAGGATGGGGAAGGCCATATTTCTATTTACTTGGAAATGCTGGATACGAGTTCTCTGCATGCTGGTTGGGAAGTTAATGCAATTTTCAATTTCTTCGTATTCGATCAGCTTCGGGACAAGTACGTTAGTCCTCAAGGTAGCTTCTTCTTTCAAATTTTTATTTTTATTTTTATATACAAGTGATTTCTTTAGTTCATTCTAAATCAGTCATGTATGGACAACCTTAATGGCAAGATAAAGATGTGACTACTAACCTTCGACTTCCTAAAGTTGTCATTTTCTTTTTTCTTTCGGTCCTGTGTTTGTTGCATTTGTTTTTTTGGCAATCTCTATCTGTAAACTTTTGTTTCAGTCTGGACCTTCTACATTTGCATTATCACATAAGGGCATGTTTACTTTGCATCAAAAGGAAAGAGAAAGTAAGGAATGACTCACTTTCCCATCTAATAATGTGTTTTCTTACAAAGGGCATGTTTGGGATAGCTTGTGCTTGTGTTTTCTAGTAGTACAAGAAGATAAGTATAAGTTGAGACTTTTTAATTAGTGTTTGGATAGTGCATGAAAAAGTGTTTTTATATCTAAAAAGAGTTTTTGAACTTGTTTAGATAAGAAAAATAAAAAACACTTCTTATTATGAAAAGTAATATAATAAAATGATATAAATGAGATATTTAATTTGTTATTCACAAATAAAAGGTTAAAAATGTAAATAAAAAAGCTTTTCATAAGCACTATGAAGATACCTTGTTCCAAAAGTGCTTAAAAAAGTTAAAAGCATTTTAAGGTTGGTCATCCAAATGGTTCAAAAGCGGTTGTTTGACTAAATAAGCCAAAACAGCTTTTTTTACGCAAATCCAAAAGGGCTCAAAATTAGTAATGGAGATTTAGTGAGCCTCACACAATATGAGAAATGACGAAAGGGAATACCAATCTTTGCACCTCCTTAGTATTGATTCTTTGTCAAAGAGAATGAATGCTAAAGTTACTTATCTACCTTTAATGAATTACTATACAATCAATGATATTTAATTGTGTAAAAGGATATTTTGTGATTACATTCATAAATTATTGTTCCTAATTTTAGTAAACATAAGAAAGAGAATGTGGTTGTTTCTCATTACACCATCTAATAGTCAAGTCTTAATCCTATTACTTTACTTTCTTTTTCAATCCCATTACCTTTCTATATATATTCCATTACAGTTTATCCCATTACCTTTCTCATTATATTCTTTTACGGTTTGTTAGTGTACACTTCAGCATAAGAACAAATGCTGCTAAGATCAAGTTTACTGCACAACTAGGTAGCAGGGCATGTTTGGTAACTCTGTGACACTTAAAACTTGCAATATGCAGATGTGACGGTACGGCGATTTCACTGTCTGAAGACACAATGGGGTATCGTCAAATTCATCGATCTGGAATCTTTTAACGATCCTTCGAATGGTTACCTTGTCAACGACACCTGCAGTTTCGGTGTCGAGGTCTTCGTCGTTAAAACTACAACCAAAGCAGAGAGTCTATCAATGATAAACAATCCTCTGACTCGCAAGATTGCTTGGACTTTCCCTAATGTTTCAAAAACAAAATGTCAATGTTATGAAACCGAACCATTTGTTGCTGGAGACTACAAATGGTATGGAAATCTCCGTCTTTGTCTATCGATATTATGTAAAACTCGGTAATCGGCATACGCATTGTTATGATATTGATTTGGTCTATTTTGTCCTCTCTCAGGAGGTTTTTGTTATATCCAAATGGATACCTAGAGGAAGGCAAGAGGAACAACAATATTACCTTGGCTGTAAAATTGGATTCTTCAACTCTTCCATTTGGCACTAAAATATTTCTGCATTACACTTTCCTCGTGGTAGACCAAAAGAAAGGCAATGATGTTGAACGAAGTGGTGAGTGATATCTCAACTATAAAATATTCATATTTTCTTTTTTCCTGTAGATTTTTCATTTTATCCAAGTGCTAACTAGGTATTGTTATAGCTCTCACAAGAAGTTTACAAGTTTTGGTCTTTGGGATTTGTTCTCTCTCTCTCCCTCTCTCAGATAGCAAACTGATATCATCTGCTGCTCGAGGTTTCCGCGATTTCATGTCTCAAGCCAAATTTAAAGATTTAGAAAATGGTTTTCTGGTGGATGACAAATGCGAAATAGAGGTAGAGCTTAAGGTGCTTGGCTTAGTTACACTAGAATAGTAAAATACTAGCGTTCTTTAGTTTTCTCTTTTTTTATTTTCTTAATGCTTCAGCTTAGGACTTCTAAACATATTCTTAAACTGCTTTTTAAGTTGTAAAATAGCTTATTATGAGTGGATGCTCTGCATTTTCTCCCTTCTAAAAGGTAATACTTGGGTATTCTCTTTGAGTTATTTTAGAACATCTCCACTACATTAATACTATAATTGATTTGTCAATTGCAAACTTAACATTTGAGTGTAAGAAAATACTCTCCAATACAATGCTATTTATTGTGCTAAATTTCTCATATGCTATACATTATAGTAAATTTGCTACAATGTATATCATGTGAGAAATTTTGTGCTATAATGTATAAGCATATAAGAAATTTGGCGTTTGATTGTTGTTAATTGAAATGTTTACTTTTTATATAATCATTACAAATTTTACATTTTTTAGTTATTTTAAAAATAAAAATTTACTTTTACAACTTTCAAAACATAATGATTATGAGAAAAAATAGATTTAGCATTTTAAATAGTATTATGCATTAAGTAAAAATAAAAATAACATAATATGTCAAATTTTTTTATGTTAAATATATAATTATCATTAACATTTGTATTAGATATGGTCTTACCTTTTTGTACTCGTATTTTTAAAGTATACATTTGCAGTAATCGAAAACCAACAATTATACTTCTCGAATACCTTGAAATGCAAGGTACAGAAAGATAAAAAGCTTTTTCCTTAATCCAACGGGTTGCGGGTTCCCCCTTGACTCCACCCTTTTTTTTTTATTTATTTTTTTATTTCTCTTCTCACGTTCAAAAGTGTAAGGGAAAAATTAAAATAGGAGAGAATTGAGAATTACAAGTCTAGGTCAAAATGCAATACAAGTAAAATAAAGTAAACAAACAATGAATAACTTACAATTCCATGCATAATCCACGAATTAATAAGGTGCCTAACAAAAAGTTAAGATGAATTAGTGAAAACAGAAGTCATTAGCTTGGCAATCAAGATAAGTATGCACAGTACACCACATATTAAGGATTCTTTTCGACGAATAAACAATGAATAACTTACAATTCCATGCATAATCCACGAATTAATAAGGGTCCCAAATTTTTGAGCTCTTGGCACTTGGTTTCTAAATTTTAAAATCTTGACTTTTGAATCCCTAAACTAACATACAGAGATGAAGGCCTATATGTATCTATAAGTATATATGTATACATAGCAAATTATATATAGTCCCCCTAAAAAATTAAAAATACATCTTAAAACCTCCAAAATTTTTAAAATACTACTTTCTATAAAAATACCTCTAACAATACTACTTTCTGAAAAATACGATTAATCCAAACTTTAAAGCCTTTCATCACTTAGAATAAATAACACATACGTATTAGTTTATCTACTTTTAATATTAGTATTAACTCTACTTCTTGTTACCGCTAATGAAATATACATATATATATATATATATTATTATGAATATTGTAAAGAATTAGTCACACAATTGGATTAGAGATCAATTGATTAATGATACTTTATTTTTATATATTGAGAAAATTATCTTTAGTAACCGTCATAATGTGGTTATTATATGCAATATTTTAAGACATGGAATCACATTGCTGACAATTTTTAGGACCCAAACAATTAATTTTGATTAAATTCTTGACAGTTATAATTAGTTCCTCTTACAAAAATTTCTACTTTGTTACTGCTAAGCGCTAACATAAAATTTGCTTTGTTTCCCTCCTCCCTTAAGTTGCTTCTTAGCAAGAAAAAAGTGGTCAAATTGCCAATATTTCTTGACACTTTGGTCCCCAACTTTATAGCTTTGTCGAGTTTTCAATTCTAATTTTACTACAGTTAAAAACACTTATAAAAAATTACATTTAACTTTTTTTAACAGTGAACAGCTCTCACATAAAATCACACATTAACTAAAATTAAAAACTTAAATCTATGAATTGAACGGTACCTATATTTCGCGTGTACCCCTCGTGTCTATAATAGTGGGAATAAGGTGTCTAAAATCTATTAAAAAAAAAAGAGAGTAAGAAAGAGTAAAGCCTCTTCATCACAGTCGGTGTGGCTGCCAATTTGTTTTATACGGGACTCACTTTATTTTAAGAATTGATTAATATTTGCTCGAGGTCAGATATTTTCTTTTTCCGCGGGAACCACCTCTCTCTTTCTTCCTCCTCAATCTCCATCCCTTCCTCTTCTTCACTTCCTATTGGCAACGTTTTCAAAGAAATACCAAAAAAAAAAGCACAAACCAATTTTAAAAGTTAAAAAACATCAACAACTACAGTCCTTTAGATTCCGCTCAAAAATCAAAACAATAAAAAATGGGATCTTTCATTTTAACTTGAAAATAATGCAAATAAGAAAAAAAAAGAGAAAAGCAGATGAATATGGCTGGAAAAAGTTTCCCCCAGGACTCGGCAAAGGTTTGGCGGTTGGCATACGATGACGGCATTGAAAGAACGAGAGAAAAAAGGCAAAGGATCGAACGGGCCAGGAATGGATTAGGATTTTTTTTCTCTCTCTCAGGGGCATGGGAATGAAATTAGGGTAATTTTCTCACCATCCGATCCTGCAGCCCAGAAGTGGACGACCGGCAGATGGTGACAGAGACGACAATGGCGTTTGGGTTTCAAAACTGGATTTGGGTTTGAGCCCAACATTCGAACTCAGCTGAAGGTAGTAAAAAAGAAAAAAAATTATTGTTTTTAATGTGTTTTTTTCTCCACGTAGGATTCTTTCAAAAATCATACACAAATTACATGAAAAGGTACATTACAAATTGGTTTAGCCTCCAAATGTAACCCGACACGATTTCAATCAAACGTGAGAGAAATTTTAGGAGACGTTTAGTTCATGGATTAGAATGATGAGATTAGAATTATTTTCAATTTACGTGTATTTTTTATGAGAAAAAACACTGTAGCGAAGCATGAATCATGATTCAAATCATAGTTTGAATCCTCCAACCAAATCATAGATTGTCTAATAACTCGTTTACTTCGTTGAATTGTGTTTTTAATTTGAGTTTATATGTGATTTTATATGATAATTTTTTACTGTAATAAAAAATTTAAATATAATTGTTTCTAAAAGTTTTTTATGATAGTAAAACTCAAATTATAAACTCGAATTAATTAAATAAACGAGACCTAAAAAAAGTGTTTTATTAGAGAAAATCCCAATATTAATATCAAAAGAAATAGGGACATGCCTACGGTCTATAATTAATCTGAGTGAGGGTGCACGTGGTCCCTCTTACACCTAATTCTAACACAAAACTTATAAAAATAATTACAACACAATAACATCTCGCTGCTGGTACACGCGCCGCCAACCTCTACCACGCCCCGACGTCTTCCATCGACACCGCTATTACCATCGTACTCGGCACCTGCTGATCTCCAAAGCCCTGCCACTCTCGCGATGAATGTCGGCTCCAATTGCTACCACCCGCCCCTAGAAATACGCCACAAACTATGACCGGCAACATCAAACAAGATCAAAAGTAATCCAAATGAGAATTGAAACTAGAAAAAAAAAAAAAAGACACAAATCATACCCATGGGAAATAAGTAAAAATTGAACACTTTCTCTTGCAAACAAATTAGAAACTTTAAGAATCAATTAGAAAATTAAAGAAGGTAAATCCATTTTTTCACAAGTGCATTCACCAACTTTGTTTCTTCCATCATACAACAGAGATCTGAGAAACACAAAAGAGCAACTATTTCTCCATTGCGATCCAATCATCACACACGCAAGAAAACTTTTTTTTTTTTTTTTGCTCTTCCTGCAATCTGATCACATAACCCTACGGACAAAATCATTACAAGGTACATTAATCAGCGGGTCCCTTGACAAAGTCGGTGACAAGGTCTATTATGTCAGCGCGTCGTTGAGGGAGGACTACAGTCCGAGAGAGGTGAGCGGGCGCTGTCTTCTTGCAGGCGCCGCCGAAAAAAAAGGGCTTCCGCCGAAGGGCTTTGGTGCCGGATGATGCCGGTGAAACTGGCTTGCGACGCCGAGAGGTGGTGACTGGCGGGCCTGCAAATTAAGTTGGGGTATCAAAGATGGGTTTGCAAATTAGGGATTGGGTCTGCAAATTCGTTAAAGAAGGAAGGTTTTTTTTTTTAAACCATACACTTTTAATCCAACGGTCTTTATTATTTCCCTTACCGATAGCTATTAGTTCACCCTACTGTAGATGTTCCTGACAGAAATACCGGTATTCAAATTTAAGAAAAATTTTTGGAGAAAATAATTTACATCATTCGCAATATTGAGCAATAGTTATGATATTAGTGGATACATGCTTTAGAAAATAGTTTTGGTGAATGTATTTATTAATTTTTATATATTTTAGTATATGATGAACTTTTAAAAAACACATGATAAAAGCTAGTTTTAGATGAAAAACTTTTTGCTCATTATATGCAATGCAACCATATATTACTTGCTTTCTTTTTCAAAAACAAAACTACATTAATCTTCAACATTCACTTCAAAGCATAAATAAAGGATCTTAAAGGTAATATATATATATATATATTTATTTATTTATGGGTACGTCTTCCCACACTATTTTTAATAAAAAATTTTGTTACTAAATTTCTCAATAATAAAATTACTTTTAACGACATTATTTTTTTAAAAAAAATACTCATTACACCCTATATTAAAAAATAAAAAAATTTATGCATCTCCAATGTAATGCTATAATTAATGTGCCAATTGTAAATTTAATATTTGATTGCAAAAAAATCTCTGATGTAATGTTATTTGTTGTGCTAAATTTTTTCTATACTATACTTTGTTGTAAATTTGTCACTAAATATAGCATATGAGAAATTTATCGTTTGATTGAAATGCTTACTTTTTCATGTAATCATTATAACTTTTACATTTCTAATTATTTTAAACATAAAAGTTTACTTTTACAATTTTTAAAACTTAATAATTATGGAAAAAATATATTTAACATTTCAAATAGCATTATGCATTAAAATGAAAATGAAAATAACATACTATATCACTCTTTTTTATGCTAAAAATACATTTAGCATTAATATTTACATTAGAGATGGTTTAATATACTAGATTTCAGCACATCTATTCTTTTGCTCTATGGCTCAGATTATTGATA